GTCTCTGTGTCATCTCACACCTCGGGCGCTCCAGTGGCTGATTACCTAACAGCTTGTTCTGATAGGTTTCTAGTGGGGTCAAAAGAGAGCAGCAGATGACTCCACAGGGGGGTCTGGGCGGGTGCCGGACAGGGTGCCGCAGAAGTCGTTTTAAGCCAACAGTCACACACTTTGTGCTCTTCGACCTCCCAGAACTCCATTCCCGGGCCACATTCTGAATGCCCGGAGCCAACTGTAGGCCACTTCGTGCTCTTCGACTTCCCAGAACTCCATTCCCGGGCCACATTTTGAATGCCCGGAGCCAACTGTAGGCCACTTCGTGCTCTTCGAGTCCCAGAACTCCATTCCCGGGCCACATTTTGAATGCCCGGAGCCAACTGTAGGCCACTTCGTGCTCTTCGAGTTCCCAGAACTCCATTCCCGGGCCACATTTTGGATGCCCGGGGCCAACTGTAGGCCACTTCGTGCTCTTCGAGGTCCCAGAACTCCATTCTCGGGCCACATTTTGGATGCCCAGAGCCAACTGTAGGCCACTTCGTGGTCTTCGAGTTCCCAGAACTCCATTCCTGGGCATGATTTTGAATGCCCGGAGCCAACTGTAGGCCACTTCGTGTTCTTCGAGTTCCCAGAACTCCATTCCCGGGCCACATTTTGAATGCTGAGGCAGGCTGAGGCTGAGGCTGAGGCAGGCTGAGGCTGAGGGCTGAGGCTGAGGCCGAGGCTGAAGGCAGACTGAGGCTGAGGCTGAGGCTGAGGCTGAGGCTGAGGCTGAGGCTGAGGCTGAGGCAGGCTGAGGCTGAGGCTGAGGCAGGCTGATGCTGAGGCAGGCTGAGGCTGAGGCTGAGGCTGATGCAGGCTGAGGCTGAGGCAGGCTGAGGCTGAGGCCGAGGCTGAAGGCAGACTGAAGCTGAGGCTGAAGCAGGCTGAGGCTGAGGCTGAGGCAGGCTGAGGCTGAGGCAGGCTGAGGCTGAGGCTGTGACTGCGACTGCCGTTGCCGCTGCGACTGTCATCGCGAATGCGACTACGACTGCGAGAACAGCAGAATTCTACAACTGGATTCTCATCTGAATCTTAAGGGGAATGCTTCCAGATATGCTCCTACACATCGCTGTTAGGTTGCTTTGCCGGGATAATTTTACCTAACAGCTTGTTCTGATAGGTTTCTAGTGGGGTCAAAAGAGAGCAGCAGATGACTCCACAGGGGGGTCTGGGCGGGTGCCGGACAGGGTGCCGCAGAAGTCGTTTTAAGCCAACAGTCACACACTTCGTGCTCTTCGACCTCCCAGAACTCCATTCCCGGGCCACATTCTGAATGCCCGGAGCCAACTGTAGGCCACTTCGTGCTCTTCGAGTCCCCAGAACTCCATTCCCGGGCCACATTTTGAATGCCCGGAGCCAACTGTAGGCCACTTCGTGCTCTTCGAGTTCCCAGAACTCCATTCCCGGGCCACATTTTGAATGCCCGGAGCCAACTGTAAGCCACTTCGTGGTCTTCGAGTTCCCAGAACTCCATTCCCGGGCCACATTTTGGATGCCCGGAGCCAACTGTAGGCCACTTCGTGCTCTTCGAGTTCCCAGAACTCCATTCCGGGCCACATTTTTGAATGCCCGGAGCCAACTGTAGGCCACTTCGTGGTCTTCGAGTTCCCAGAACTCCATTCCTGGGCATGATTTTGAATGCCCGGAGCCAACTGTAGGCCACTTCGTGTTCTTCGAGTTCCCAGAACTCCATTCCCGGGCCACATTTTGAATGCTGAGGCAGGCTGATGCTGAGGCTGAGGCAGGCTGAGGCTGAGGCAGGCTGAGGCTGAGGCCGAGGCTGAAGGCAGACTGAGGCTGAGGCTGAAGCAGGCTGAGGCTGAGGCTGAGGCAGGCTGAGGCTGAGGCTGAGGCAGGCTGATGCTGAGGCAGGCTGAGGCTGAGGCTGAGGCTGATGCAGGCTGAGGCTGAGGCAGCCTGAGGCTGACGCCGAGGCTGAAGGCAGACTGAAGCTGAGGCTGAAGCAGGCTGAGGCTGAGGCTGAGGCAGGCTGAGGCTGAGGCAGGCTGAGGCTGTGACTGTGACTGCCGTTGCCACTGCGACTGTCATCGCGAATGCGACTACGACTGCGAGAACAACAGAATTCTACAACTGGATTATCATCTGAATCTTAAGGGGAATGCTTCCAGATATGTTCCTACACATCGCTGTTAGGTTGCTTTGCCGGGATAATTTTAACTAACAGCGAAGACTGATAGGTTTCTAGAGGTGTCAAAAGAGAGCATCTGATGACTCAGAAGGGAGGTCTGGGCGGCATCCGGACAGCGAGGGCCGGGCTCAGGGCCGGGCTCGTTTTAAGCAAACAGTCACACACTTCGTGCTCTTCGACCTCCCAGAACTCCATTCCCGGGCCACATTTTGAATGCCCGGAGCCAACTGTAAGCCACTTCGTGCTCTACGACTTCCCAGAACTCCATTCCCGGGCCACATTTTGGATGCTCGGAGCCAACTGTAGGCCACTTCGTGCTCTTCGACTTCCCAGAATTCCATTCCCGGGCCACATGTTGGATGCTCGGAGCCAACTGTAGGCCACTTCGTGCTCTTCGATTTCCCAGAACTCCATTCCCGGGCCACATTTTGGATGCCCGGAGCCAACTGTAGGCCACTTCGTGCTCTTCGAGTTCCCAGAACTCCATTCCCTGGCCACATTTTGATGCCCGAGCCAACTGTAGGCCACTTCGTGGTCTTCGAGTTCCCAGAACTCCATTCCTGGGCATGATTTTGAATGCCCGGGGCCAGCTGTAGGCCACTTCGTGTTCTTCGAGTTCCCAGAATTCAATTCCCGGGCCACATTTTGAATGTTGAGGCAGGCTGATGCTGAGGCTGAGGCAGGCTGAGGCTGAGGCAGGCTGAGGCTGAGGCCAAGGCTGAAGGCAGACTGAGGCTGAGGCTGAAGCAGGCTGAGGCTTAGGCTGAGGCAGGTGAGGCTGAGGCAGGCTGATGCTGTGGTCTGAGGCTGGGCTGATGCTGAGGCAGGCTGAGGCTTGAGGCTGAGGCTTGAGGCAGGCTGATGCTGAGGCAGGCTGAGGCTGAGGGCTGAGGCTGAGGCAGGCTGAGGCTGAGGCCGAGGCTGAAGGCAGACTGAGGCTGAGGCTGAAGCAGGCTGAGGCTGAGGCTGAGGCAGGCTGAGGCTGAGGCTGAGGCAGGCTGATGCTGAGGCAGGCTGAGGCTGAGGCTGAGGCTGATGCAGGCTGAGGCTGAGCAGGCTGAGGCTGAGGCCGAGGCCGACGGCAGATTGAGGCTGAGGCTGAAGCAGGCTGAGGCTGAGGCAGAGGCAGGCTGAGGCTGAGGCTGAGGCAGGCTGATGCTGAGGCAGGAAGGCAGGCTGAGGCTGAGGCAGGCTGATGCAGGCTGAGGCTGAGGCAGGCTGAGGCTGAGGCCGAGGCTGAAGGCAGACTGAGGCTGAGGCTGAAGCAGGCTGGCTGAGGCTGAGGCAGGCAGGCTGAGGCTGAGGCAGGCTGATGAGGCAGGCTGAGGCTGAGGCTGAGGCTGATGCAGGCTGAGGCTAAGGCTGAGCAGGCTGAGGCTGAGGCTGAGGCTGCAGGCTGAGGCTGAGGCTGAGGCAGGCTGAGGCTGAGGCTGAGGCTGCAGGCTGAGGCTGAGGCTGAGGCTGAGATGCTGAGGCAAGGCTGAGGCTGAGGCTGAGGCTGATGCAGGCTGAGGCTGAGGCAGGCTGAGGCTGAGGCCGAGGCTGAAGGCAGACTGAGGCTGAGGCTGAAGCAGGCTGAGGCTGAGGCTGAGGCAGGCTGAGGCTGAGGCTGAGGCTGAGGCTGATGCTGAGGCAGGCTGAGGCTGAGGCTGAGGCTGATGCAGGCTGAGGCTGAGGCAGGCTGAGGCTGAGGCCGAGGCTGTAGGCAGACTGAGGCTGAGGCTGAAGCAGGCTGAGGCTGAGGCTGAGGCTGAGGCAGGCTGAGGCTGAGGCTGAGGCAGGCTGATGCTGAGGCAGGCTGAGGCTGAGGCTGAGGCTGAGCAGGCTGAGGCTGAGGCTGAGGCAGGCTGAGGCTGAGGCTGAGGCAGGCTGATGCTGAGGCTGAGGCTGAGGCTGAGGCTGATGCAGGCTGAGGCTGAGGCAGGCTGAGGCTGAGGCCGAGGCTGAAGGCAGACTGAGGCTGAGGCTGAAGCAGGCTGAGGCTGAGGCTGAGGCAGGCTGAGGCTGAGGCTGAGGCAGACTTAGGCTGAGGCTGTGACTGCGACTGCCGTTGCCGCTGCGACTGTCATCGCGAATGCGACTACGACTGCGAGAACAGCAGAATTCTACAACTGGGTTCTCATTTGAATCTTAAGGGGAATGCTTCCAGATATGCTCCTACACATCGCTGTTAGGTTGCTTCGCCGGAACAATTTTGCGCGGGGCCCAAATTAACGCTGCGAGCCGAAGGGTGCGGAGGAGAGCGGGGGGGCACGGAGAAGAGGGAGGGCGGGCGGGGGACAACAATGCGACGGGACAGGGGGCGGGGCAGGGCGAGGGCAGAGGGAGAGGGGGGAGAGATAAGAGGCAAGGAAGGGCAGGTCGCACCGCGAAGGCGCAGGCCCTGGGGGCACAAAGAATCGGGCAAAGAAATCACTGCAACATGATATGGATGAAGGCCTAGGCGCTGGGGTCAGGTGTAGGTGCCCCGCGTGCACGTCGCACCATTTTTGTGACCCTGAACACCGTTCGGTTTCTCCCAAACGCTCGCGGGCGAGCTCCCAGAAGCCGTAGGCCGTGTCGGACTGCACGACCTCGCATCTGTAAAAGTAAGGCGTGGCTACGGCCACCTGCGGGGGGCGCGGCGTGCAAATATCCCCCAAGGCCCAGGCGGGCCGCGATATCTCGCAGGTGAAAGCCGACGCAGGCGCGACGCGGAGAACAGACCAGGCGGGGCGGAGATGGATGCGATCTGGAACGCGGAAAACCATCCCACGAACGAGGCGCTACACGGGCAGTCTCAGCGAATCTTCGACAGATCGCCGAAGAGCGCCTTCATCGCCCCCGACGTCTTCGAAGCCACGGGCAGCGTCTCCTGGGGCTTCAGCGCCAGGTGCTCGCGCGCGATATCCCGCTCGGTGCCCTTGGCGTCCCCTGTCAGCATGTGCACCCTTGTTTTCTTCGCGTTCACATTGATCACGCGGGCGCTCTGCCCGTCCAGCTTCTCCTTGTCGTCTCTGCCCTTCGCGGTCGTCGCCGACGGAAGGGATATGACGACAACGTCATCGGGCCCCAACTTCTTCAGCTTCTGATCGGGCATCGTCGCCTGGGCGGCGGGCCCCCCCGCCCCCAGGTCCGACGCCGTCGGCGCGGCCGCCGCCGACGCGCCCGCGGCAACGGCCGCTTCGGGCGCCCCCGCCCCCGCACCTGGCGCCGCGGGCACGCTGGCTGCGTCGGCCGCCTTCGCCGGGTCGACAAGCGGCGCGGCCGCGGCGCCGCTGGGCCCCTGGGGATCCCCCGTCGCCTTCGCCGCCCCGACGGCCTCCGCGGCCGCGGCGACGCCGGCATCCCCCGGGCCCTCTGGAGGTTTCTTCCCCGCCCCTCCACGAAAGAGAGCAGGGCCGACACGGCCGGGAAGAACGCCGGGCCCTCCTGGAATTGCTTCATCAAGGCCTTCTGCGCACCCAAGCTCTTCGCCATCAGCTGCAACGGCTGCGCGTTGTCCTCCTTCAGGCACTCATCGGACCAGTCTGCGGCGGCCTGCCCCTCCTCCGTGACGACGTTCCTCGCCTTGGCTGCCTCAAGAAAACGCGCCTCCGCCAGCCCGGCAACCGCCGAGTCGCCGCCAGACGACGCCACGGCCTGCAACTTCTTGAAATCGGAGAGCAATAACTTCAAGGCGCCGCACGGGATGCCCATCTCCCCGATGTCGCAGCTGGCCAACTTCGCGCCCCACTCCAACAACTCTGTCGCGGTAAGCAAGGCGGTGCCCGCCACAGCGTTGTAAAATTTACGCAGGGGGGTCTGATCATCTTTGGGGCACCACTGTTCCAGCAGATCCATCCGAGAGCCGTCCTCCAGGAAGTACTGGATCCTGGCGTTGCCAGCGGGCGTCTCCAGGAAGGCGCGGATGCCCTCCAGCTCTTTCACCATGTCCCCCGCGCCTGACTTTTCCACGGTCGGCAAGAACTTCATAATGTCAGCCAGGCGCACCGCGTTCTCCTTCACCGCAGACTGCTTCATCGCCCTGAACATGGCCACCACGCGCTGCGCGTAGAAGTCCTGGTAGAGCTTGCTGCCCCGGAACATTCGCCGCCCGGTCATGTCCAGCCCTTCGAGCTCGAAGGCTGTCACCTTCTGGGGATCCGCCTTCGCGAGCTCGAAGATGGCGCCGAAAAGCTTCGAAGGGCGCAACTCCACGCTTCTCGCAGAGGCTCTTCACCGCCTGCAGCGGCCCCACCACCTTCGGCAGCATCGGGTACCACGGCGCCTCGAGCAACTCCTGGACGACGAACTTCAAATACTCTTCCGCGCACCAGGGGACCTTGCTCCCTGCCTGGCCGCAGCCCGCCACGTAGTCCTCGCACTCCGCCAAACCGAAGCAGACCGTCTGGTGGTCCCAAGGGTTGCCCGCCCAGAACCTCCGCTACTTTACGGCTTGAGCTGTCGCCAACGCAATCTTCTCGAAAGTCCGCTCTTCCGACTGCCCTGGCTCGCCTGCCGGCGACATGAGTTTCGCGCTCGCACTGGTTATGGCCCCCGCGACGGCCGCGGGCGCCGCCCCCTGGCCGCCCGTCGCACTTTTCTTGGGGGGTGGGCGCAGCCGCGGGCTCGGCCTCCTGGCTGGCCATGGCGCCCGCGGTAGCCCTGGGGGCGGCCCCCGGCTTGGCGCGACTATACTGCCAAGGACAGGGTCGCCAGCCGCGCCCCCCTGTGCACCTACCGCGGAGCTCTTGCAAGTGATGGGCACCATCGCAACGAACTCCCAGGCGCCGACCAAGTCTTCCCCCAGCCGCTTCCTTTCGACGCACTGGTCCACGAAGAACACGGATGAGGGGTCCACGTCGTCGGGCCAATTCATCAGCTCCTCCAGTTGGACGAATACCTTCGAAGGCAAGGTGCCCTCCAGATCTGGAGCAACCATTTTCGGGGCTACCCGAATGGGGCGCTGCAACACGCCAGATTCCACCCGCCGTCTCTTCACCGCAATGGCCAACTTGTTTTCATCGAGCCGCTTCATGTTCAAGCGCCGCAGGGCCAAGTAGATGTTCGCCTCGTCGGATGCGTCGAAGTTTCCCATGCGCCCTACATTGGCGGTTGCCGTGCTCCGCTCCTCCTGTGTCACTGGCTTCCTCTTCAAAGCCCCCATCGATCTCCGAAGCGCCCGGCACCGCGGTCTTCTTCCACTTTGGTCGTTCAAGGCGCGCAGCGCTCTAGTAGACTTCCGCGCGCAAGACCCGCCCCAATGGCGCCTCAAACGCTAGCGGGTCTCGGATGAGCTTTGCCCAACAGCGTGCAAACAAAAAATCCTCCTCCTCCTGCCCCCCTGTCTCTGTCCTCTTACCCCTGGTCCCATTTCCTTCCTTCCGCCGCCTGCTCAGGCTGCGCCGCAAGCGCGTCAACGAATCCCCTGGCCCGCATCGCCCTCGCACCCCCCCCCCTCCTGCCCCCATAAGCGGGGTCTGGAAACACGAGGAAGGAAGCGAAAATGCAAGGGCAACGGCGGCCCGAGGATTTGTTAACAGCGCCTTCCGCCTTCCTCCTCCTCCTCCTCCTCCCCCTCCTCCTCATCCTCCTCCTCCTCCTCCTCCTCCTCTGAGCGTCCTCGCGTCCTCCTCCTCCTCCTCCGGGGGGGCGGGGCCGGGCCGGCGGGGCCGGGCCGGCGGGCCCCCCCCTCCTCCTCCTCCTCCTCCTCCTCCTCCTCCTCCTCCTCCTCCTCCTCCTCCTCCTCCTCCTCCTCTGCGCGTCCTCGCGCCCTCCTTCTCCTCCTCCTCCGGGGGGGCGGGGCCGGGCCAGCGGGGCCGGGCCGGCGGGGCCGACGGCGGCGGCGACGGCGGCGGCGACAACGACCACGACGACGACGACGAGGACGGCGGCGGCGGCGACGACGACGACGCCGACAACGGCAGCGGCGGCGGCGGCGACGACGAGGACGACGGCGGCGGCGGCGGCGGCGGCGGCGGCGACGACGACGACCCCGACAACGGAAGCGGCGGCGGCGGCGCCCCCCGGGCAAGTTAACAAAACGCGACGACAACGACGACGACGACGGCGGCGGCGGCGACGACGACGACGACGCCGACAACGGCAGCGGCGGCGGCGGCGACGACGAGGACGACGGCGGCGGCGGCGGCGGCGGCGGCGACGACGACGACGACGACGACCGCGACAGCGGCAGCGGCGGCGGCGGCGCCCCCCAGGCAAATTAACAAATCCTCTGGTCAAAAATCGAACGCACAATGATACGTCAAGAACGGCGACGACGACGACGACGACGGCAGCGACGGCGGCGGCGGCGGCGGCGGCGAGGTCGGGTCACAGCGGCGCCCCGCGGGCAAGTGAACAGATCCTCTGGTCAGGAATCGAAGCACAATGGTATGTCAAGGGGGCGACGACGACGACGACGACGACGACGACGACGACGACGACGACGACGACGGCGGCGGCGGCGGCGGCGGCGACGGCGACGACGGCCGGGGAGGAGGGAGGAGAAGCGTGTCACTGCGACGATCGCGCCGCCAATCCCCACCGCGGGGCGGGCCCCGGGCGGATCACTAAGGGCCGCTAAGGGTCACTACGGGCCACGAAGGGCCACGAAGGGCCACTAACGGCCCAAGTAAGAACAAGTAAAAGTCACTGAATACATCGGAAACAACCGTAAACAGCCACTCAGGGCAGTTCAGCTCCGCACGAAGGATGTCAGAATTTCTTGTGGCCCGTAGTGGCCCCTAGCGGCCCTGAGTGGTCATCCGTTCGTCCACGCACGCGCCCGCGCGCCTGGTCACGCGTGGCCTTTCTTGCGCGCCGCCGCCCGGCGGCGCGAGAGGGTCTGCATGTTGTTCGCGAAGCCCCCAACTCTCAGATTGCTGTTGCCGCAGCCCGCGATGGCGCTGAGGCGCGCGATCTGGCCGGCAAAGCTGACCCTGGACTGGCGATGGCGGACGCGCTGCCGAAGGTACAAATCAAAGTGGGCAAATTTATTCGCCGCCTGCGCCGCGAACGCTGCATGCGCCCTCTGCAACCCATCGGCACGAAAGGCTATCAAGTTGGATCCGTGGCCCCGCTGCCCCCGTTTTTCCCAGCCTGCCCTGACGACAGCTGCTCGACTAAGCTCAACACAGAGAGAGTCGATGGTCTTCCCAGGCATTGGCCGCGCGTCGTCCTCGATCCAAAGTATCGCGGTTGGACGGGGCCGCACTGCGTGCATTAGGCGGAGGACTTTCCGAAACCAATAAAATAGAAATCCCATCATCACAACTTCATTGTGCTCTATCGCCCGCGCGACGTCTGCGACTGGGCCCCGGTGCCCGCCGGCCCAGACGCCCACCTGAATGTCCAGACCATAACATGTCGAAACGGTTTTGATTCGGAAATCCCGCCATACACTGGCGGCGCGGCCAGCTGCACACCCCCGGGCGGCGCGGGGCAACACGACGGCTGACATGTTCTGCGGCTCACACGGGCCGCGGGGGAGGGACAAAGACTCCGCGTCTGGACGCGCAGCTTTGCATCTGGACACGGCCGAGCGGCCAGAGAAGGCATTTGACGCCCAGCGCGCGCTGCCACACGTGCACCGGCACCACGCCATGCCGGGGGCATTCGCGGATAAAAAAACAAGCCATGGAACATCAGGAAGCGGAGCCGAAATGAATACGGATCTGGATATTGAACGCGTGGCCAGGTCACAAATTTTGTCCCCCCAACGACATTGAACCCTCATGAACCCCTGAACTTCCCGGGACCTCCCGGACGCCCCCGCAGAGCGCCGCCTCGGCCCCCCGGGCCCCCCAGGAGGTGGAGGAGGAGGAGGAGGAGAAGGGGGAGGGGGAGGAGGAGGAGGAGGAGGAGGCAGGGAGGAGGAGGAGGAGGCCAAGTGGTAGAACGGGCACGACGACGACCAATCGCGGCAACGATCTGGCCTAAAGGGCCGCCCCAGGGCCCCCCGCGCGTTCTCCTTAGAACGCGCACCGCGCTGTACACAGCAACGCTCGCGCATAGCCCGCGGGCGCTGGAAAGCCGTGCTTGACCACGTGCCGCCCAGCCAATGCAATAGAAGCGGCGCTGCGGCGCGTCTGAAAAATAACGGGGGGGGCAGCGGGCGGGGCCCGGGGTCAGGAACGCGGGACACATGGGAGCAGGAGGACGAGGGAGGGAGGGGGATGGGAGAGACAGAAGGGGGCCACGCTGGCGCGCGGCGATGCGAACTCCTGAACAAAAGCAGCACATCGCGTGCACAAGCGGGACAAGTAAAGGTGAATGAGGCGGAACCGAAGGGGGGGAACGGGGCGCAATATGCTACAATCGCTCGAGCTACGCGGGCGGCAGGGCTGCAGGCGCCCACTGTCGGAGTCTGCGGTCAGCTTCAGGATTCCCAGTGCCGGCCTGGCCATGCCCGAGAGCGACGATGCCCCTCCGCAGGGAGAGCAGCCCCCTGTGATACCAATCCCTCCCTGCCCCGTGCTGATTGATCCAGTTTAAGTGCAAGGAGCGCCATAGCATCCAGGCTCGAATCACTAAGTAAGCGCGTTGTGGATGACCATGGGGTGTGTCTCCGACGTGCCCAAGTGTACACGCCTTGGAATTATCGCTCTTGCCCATCTGGTCGGCCTTTGCCCACTGCCCGAACATTGTTATCTTCGCATCGGGGTATGTATCCGCCACCGCGCTTGCAGCGGTTGGTGCGTCTCGGGCCCTGTCGCTCCTTGCGAAATTATATTTAGGTCCCCCGTTCGCTTTGAGCGAAAGTGCGCTTACTTTTGTGACCAAGTCCCTGCGCCTTTGGCTTTCAAGGCGGAACATGCGCCCAAACAAAAACGAAGTTTAGGGTGGCGGAATCGCGCGCCAGCGCCACTGGATTATCATACGACAATCGGTAGTACCCAGCGTCCTCAATGACGCCGTGGACGGCGCGTGCGCCTGGCGGGGCGCGGGGGCCAGCGTCCTCCACTTCGTCACCGGGCTCCCCCTCGTGCACCTCGGCCTCCGCCTCGGCGTCCAACGCGTCATTCTCGACGTCGGCTTCTTCGGCCGACTGCATGGCGTTGTCGCTGGACGCCTCCACCGACGACGCCTCGGACTGGCCCTCAGAATCGCTATCCGCATCCTCGGAATCACTATCTGCCGCGTCGGGCTTCCGCGGGCCTGCAAGTTTCAGTTCCACCTCAGTGGCCCCAGTGACGTCGATAACCACGACGCCGGTGGACGCCTTGTCCACCGCGACGGCCCACCTTGTCACCGCGCAGTTGTCACTCGCGCGGCCCAACTCCCCGAGGATACTGCGCAGCGGTCGACAGCGATCTTGGAGAAGAGCCGCGTAATCCAAAACGTACCTGGCGGGCCCCCGTCCCGTCAACAAGGCAGCGCGACCCTCGCGCTTGCACCTGCAGAACC